TGGGGGGGGGGGGGGGTTGCATGAATTTTAGCTCATATAACTGCCAAAAAGAAATTATTAGTCAATACAGAGCATCAATACAACTATTTAAAAAAAAAAAACAACAAAAAACCAAAACAAAAACCAAACCCTAAAAACTCACCCAACAACATTAATACCAAACCCCATCCAAACCCAAAGTGAAGCAGTACTGCTTTTCCCCTTCTTTGCTCATTCTTACATCTTTAAGTGATTTCAAATGACTGTTAAAAGATATTTGTTGCAACTGAACTCAGAATTTAATCTTTGAAGAGTACATGCCACAGAAAGATTTGTTTGCAAATGCTAGTGGACTCTATTTTCCATTAAGCAGAAAAATGAAATTTCATTGCTGGAACTTTACTATAACTGGAGAGCACTTAATCACACACAGCAATAAATGCACGGTCCATATCAGTAAAATGCGGATTTATACAGAGTCTAACTTGCACTGTTGTGGTGGGTTGACCCTGGCTGGACTCCAGGTGCCCACCAAAGCCATTCTATCACTCCCCCTCCACCCCCGCTCAGCTGGACAGGGGAGAGAAAATATAACAAAGGGCTTGCGGGTCGAGATAAGGACAGGAAGAGATCAGCCACCAATTACCGTCACGGGCAAAACAGACTCAAATTGCGGAAAATTAACTCAATTTATTGCCAATCAACCAGAGTAGGGTAATGAGAAATAAAACCAAATCTCAGAACACCTTCCCTCCACCCCTCCCTTCTTCCCGAGCACAACTTCACTCCCGGATTCTCTACCAAGCCCCCCCAGCAGCACAGGGGGATGGGGAATGGGGTTTACGGTCAGTTCATCACATGTTATTTTCTGCTGCTTCATCCTCCTCAGGGGCAGGACTCATCACACTCTTCCCCTGCTCCAGCGTGGGGCTCCTCCCACGGGAGACAGTCCTCCATGAACTTTCTCCAACGTGGGCACTTCCAATGGGCTGCAGTTCTTCACGAACTGCTCCAGCATGGGTCCTTGCCACGGTGTGCAGTCCTTCAGGAGCACACTGCTCCAGCGTGGGTCCCCCACGGCGTCACAAGTCCTGCCAGAAAACCTTCTCCAGTGTGGGCTCCTCTCTCCACAGATCCGCAGGTCCTGCCAGGAGCCTGCTCCAGCGCGGGGTTCCCACGCGGTCACAGCCTCCTTCGGAAACCCACCTGCTCTGGCGGGGAGTCCTCCACAGGCTGCAGGTGGATATCTGCTCCACCGTGGACCTCCCTGGGCTGCAGGGGGACAGCCTGCCTCACCATGGTCTTCACCACAGGCTGCAGGGGAATCTCTGCTCCGGCGCCTGCAGCACCTCCGCCCCCTCCTTCTTCACTGACCTGGGGATCTGCAGGGTTGTTTCTCTTACATGTTCTCCCTCCTCTCCCCGCCTGCCATTTCCGTCCCAGCAACTTTTTTTCCTTCTTAAAAATGTTATCACAGAGGCGTTAGCACTATCGCTGATTAGCTCGGCCTTGGCTGGCGGCGGGTCCGTCTTAGAGCCGGCTGGTCCGTCTTAGAGCCGGCTGGTATTGGCTCTGTCGGACACAGGGGAAGCTTCCAGCAGCTTCTCACAGAAGCCACCACTGAACCCCCCCCTCCCCGCTACCAAAACCTTGCCACGCAAAGCCAATACAACTGTAGAGAGCTAGAACTGATAAAATACTTTTGTCAAAACTTGTGTGCAACAGCTAGATATATGAAGTTCTACATATTTATAAAGAACACACACACGGGGTCAGGCAGTGTAACAAGGTCGGCTGAATCTCCACGTACAGAGCTATGTGCCCTACCCATCTCTAGCACATCTGCATGGTTAGTTTTGCTTACATTTCCCACCCCACACAAAGGAGGAAAAATCTCCAAGTATACTTTCTCAGAAGTTATGCTGAGTTTTTGGCAATCTCTTATTAAACAACGGGGATCCCAATACTTTTATTTTCTGTTTCCAGATGCCATGTCTCTTTTTTCTTCATTTTTCACCAATTCTCTCATTCTTACCCCAAAGTATTTACATTTGGTCTTGTAGCTTTTTCTTTTCTTGAGTTTGTGTCTCTACCTTGCCACAGGAGAGGCTGCCTGACAGGTAACAGAAGCCCTGCACCCCCAGCACTGGTATTGGGAAGCAAGAACAATTCATTACCATGATTACATCTACAGGTGCAAATCAAGAGCAGCAAGTGACAGGATGGTGGAAATATACTTGCAAGGTAGTTTTAACCAACAAAACCCTCCTCTTCTGCACTATGGGCCCTCCAAAAAGCTGACACAGGTGATTTCTCTTGCAAAGACATCCTCCACATGCCATTTTATTCAAACACCAAAAAGTAAAACCAGCATTAACCACATAACTCCAAGTCTATGGCACCATTCCAAACACTTATGCATCATGAAGAACAAACAAACAAACAAACAAAAGCCCAGTTCTCTTTTGCTGCTTCACCTCTACCAGGTACTCAGCAAACCTGGAGAGCTCCTGGTTTTTACTGAATTTGCTAAAAAGACAGAGGGAGTGTAAGGTAGTTTCTTCTGAAGAGAAGAAAACCCTTGATTTTTAGTAAGACAAAATACAACCATAACAAAGAGAATAAATTTGCTATCATATACAAATAACACTTTAGAGGTCAGAAAAAAGGTGTTGAGTAAATGGTCTTACTCACGGCACCTTTCATGTTCAGATAGCTTCCAGATATGCTAGAAGCTAAGCAGACCTAATCTAATTTTCAAAGTAAATATTAGAAGGAGTTAGAACAGCCAAAACCATGCTCTTTATTTTCATGGCTACCACAGAACTAAAGGAAAGCTGCAGGAAGAATCAAAGTACAGCTTATTTAAGCTATGATATAGAGGCAGCTAAAAGTGAAATTTTAACCAAATAAGGCCACAACTCATAATATAAGAACTCCTCTGGAAATTGTGATGCAGTATCCTACACAATGTGGGTCCTCACTCCTTCCTAGTCTCCACAGGTCCCAGCTCTATTAACTGACTGACCTTCCCTACACCAGACGTTAAAACTGCCAATCTCCACTCACCTGAAGGGATGTGCTCCCCGCTGTTTATCACCAGGTAAACAATTCCAGCTACCTATTATGCTGGAACTGCTTGACTGTCATCTTCTGTTTAACCAATTGGTTAAGACAAAGCAGGAAAGAAAAAAAATCCAACCAACCAAACAAGAACTCCCCCTTTTTTCTCTGATTCTTCCTAGCCCTGGAAAAGGCAGCCCAAGGGACACCCACAACACTCTCACAGGGTCCCACAAACACAAGCTGGTACAGCCTGGGCAGAGTTTGTATTTCCCTTGTTACCAGGGCACCTGGAGCCCACTGCTTATGCCAAGACTTTCAGCTAGCCCTCATCTTGTGAGATGATATTGTTCCTAAGAGAATTGATTCATATCTCTTCAAAATTTAAATTTCTGAAGTCCCACCTACAATTCCCACCAGTCTTTGTGACAGAATACAATTCCTGTAGGACATTAAAGAATTCTTTCAGCCCAATGCAGATAGAAGACTTTATCATTTTAAGAAAAACAATACATCTTTTAAAATCAAATGCAAGGCCATAAAGTCAACATTTTATGTGCTTCAGATCCCACTTCTACAGAATAAAGTGTCATTACTGTATCTCAATATATCTCCTGCTTGCCAAAAAAAATAATAGTGTCAGTGATCTGAATGTGTGGAAGCCCTTTTTAAAACAAAGGTCTGGCACAGTAAATAAATAAAGCATCTATTTATTTGATTTTCAAAAAATTCCTGTTAGAAAGTTACAAGCAGTATATTTTTAACTATCAGTAACTAGAGGAAGGCACTTTAAAATAATGAGAAATACTTGAACTGACAGTGACCTGGATATTCCAGTTATCGCCAGCAGTTCCTTTCAATAAGGATCACTTTCCCCAAAAAACTGGAGGAAAAAAAAAGAGGAAATCTATCTACTAGATTTGTGCACAACCGAAGGCTACAGCATAAAAAACACCACCTCTTCAAATCTTGGTATCAAGGTATATTAATGTTTACAGCACCTCCCCTTTTGAACACAATTACATGAGACACTATACAAAGACAGCTTGATAGCCCTCTCACTGAAATTATTTTCAATCTAACCTCCAACATCATAACCATCTCTCAAGTTCTCTATAGCAATCACCTAGGACAGGAAAGGTCATAAGGGGACCTCACCTGCAATTCAGTCATCTCTCAGGTACTGAAAAAGTTCATTAAACATAGTACAATAAAAACCTCCTACTGCACAACAGATAGGCTTAAGTTTGTAATTTGACTTATGGCACCATGAAGAACACTGGTTTATACAAAGAGCAACTACACATTTTTTTTATATCAAACTTTACAAAATTATGTATGCCAAAACACAAGCAGCACTTAATTTTAGTTTCACTCAGAGTCAGAAAAGGATCTAGCTCTACTACGATCACATCACAAGAGGAAAAAGGCTGCTGTGATAAAGCTTCTTCTAGAGCTTTTCTTGCCTTTGACCTCTCACCCCAAGCAATTATTATAATGCTTTCTTGATTATCACAATAATGCTGCTTCACTGCTACACCAAAGTAGCAGACAGCCAAAACCTTGCACATCACCTGCTC